GCGCGGGCGCGGGCCTGGCCTTGGGCTTGGGGAAGTGCGCCAGCGGGGCCACGTCCTTCCCCAGCAGCGCGGGCGGGCAGCCGGTGCGCCGGCTTCGCAGCAGAGACTTGCTCCTGCAGTTTTTGTGGATGTCGGGGTTGTACTTATGCTCCAGTCGCTGGTGCATCATCAAAACCTCGGGATAAAAGGTCTTGAAGGTACAAAATGGGCAGGTGATCCCTGGGATTAAACTTTTGCTCAGAGAAATGGCCGGGCAGCCGTGAAGCGCCCCGAGGGACAGGTTCAGAGGCTTCTCCTGGCAGTCCGCGCCAGCCTTGTGCTTGCCCTCGGCCGCCGTCGCCGTCCCTGCGTGCTTCTCCCGGTGACCGACCTCGGCCGCATGGGCCGCACCTCCGGGGACCCCCACCTCTGTCCTACACGTGGGTTCCCGCGCCTGAGGGTCACCCGCTGCTCTCTTGGGTAACACATCCAAATAGGCGGGGGCAGGAGTTTTGCAGACTCTATCAGTACTGTCATCGGTTGCATTTTTATTGAAATCCTGAGTATCTTTGTGAACTGGCGAGAGGACAGTGCTGCCCAGAACATTCGGAAAGGCAGAGGCCATCCCCTTAAGTTGCTTTGCAGGGGGGCTGCCTTTAACATCTTTGGCACCATCAAAAAATCTTTTCAAATTTTTGGTTTGCGCACTGTCGGGGGTAAGTAGTGCATCTTCGGGCTCCTGGTTTTTCCCGTCGTTCTTGACTTCCGCGGCAATATCGATCTGTTTGTCCTTGTGATGTCTCTCCAGGTGATACCGCAGAGAGGTCTTCTGGGCTGCAGCATAGTCACAGAATTCACATTTGTATGGTTTTTCACCTAAAACAACAAGTGTCACTGTATTACACGAGTTTATGAAAAGTGTCACACCAGATCTTTGGAAACTAGAATCATCTAAGAGAGAATGTAGGGTCTTTCCTTTTCCTTTCTCCCTGCTGACCTTCATATCCGGGGTTTTTCCCCAGCTGCTTGCTTCATCACCCTCACTCCACTGAATATTTGAAAATGCGAATAGCGTCTTAAATAGTGCGCCTTAAACTTACTTAATCTTGGGGCGCCTGGGTGGCGCAGTCGGTTAAGCGGCCGACTTTGGCTCAGGTCACAATCTCGCAGTCCGGGAGTTTGAGCCCCGTGTCAGGCTCTGGGCTGATGGCTCGGAGCCTGGACCCTGTTTCCGATTCTGTGTCTCCCTCTCTCTCTGCCCCTCCCCCGTTCATGCTCTGTCTCTCTCTGTCCCAAAAATAAATAAACGTTGGGGGGAAAAAAAAACTTAAGCCTCGTAAACCATTATGGTACAGCTGCTTCTACAATCTCAAGGAAATTCTAAACATATTCTCGTTTCATCCCAAATCATAAAAACCAATACCAAAAAAAGCTGTGGCATTAAAACATACTAAAGATAAAGAGCAAGTTGTAATAAGATGAGAGGCTACAATAGTCAGAAAGTAAATAAACTACGTTCAAAATCAGGAACAGCTCGAGTTACAAAATGACACTAACAGACTGCCATTAGCACACTACACATTGACTCAAACTATTCTCCAAGGATCTAACAGAATAGTTGAACAACAATATTAAAAAAAGAAACACAAAGAACCGCATCATAATTGTTTAAGCCAGTAAGAATTAAAGATCTAGGAAGCTCCTTACCTGTGTGCGTTCTGAGATGAATATTGAGGTAATAATTTGAACGGAAAAACTTCCCACAGTAACTACATTCTCTTGAGGACGTAAGATGCTTTATTTTTCCTCCATCATCATTTTTATCTTGAAGCAGAAACAAAAATACTTATGTAAGAAGACAGCTCGAGTACATGAGTAAGACAAGTGGGCTTTAAGTATTTTTGATGGAAGCATTTTTGGAAAAGCATAAAATAGCTTTTATATATTAGTGCTGGGGTAAACCAGAAAGGGTAGGAACATACCAAACACTGTTTGGAGGTCATCTGAAGTCTTGCAAGCTTTTTAACATGCGTGCCTTGTTTTTTGCTTTGTTTTGTTTTGTTTTTGTTTCCTGAGTACAGCCAACTTAGTGGATCGTTAAGAGTCCGTTCCTCATTTGCCTCAATCACAGGAAAGATCACTTAACAGACTGACATGCATGGGCAACTTTCTGTTCTCCCAACACGTCTGCGACATGCCTTCTGGACCTACACTCGCTGGCTGCAATAACCAGCTTCTTCAGAGTAACTGATTTAGAAAACTGAGCCAATATAAATTGCCAGTTTTCCCAACCAGACAGAAGGCGATCCTAAGATCAGGCCAGCTACCACTAGAGGGTAGCAAGCACAACCTAATCTTCACAGAAAATAAAAGGTTTGGCATTGGGTCAAACACCTTGTTTGTCAAAATTGAGCATGTTTTGGAAAGCAAACCGTATCATTCGCCAGCACTCCTGTGGACAAGATATACCTGAGACCAATCAGAATCTGTCCCCAAGTGACAATGGGTTAAACTTGAAACTTCAAACTCTGCACTGAGCAGGAGAATATATCTCTGCTACAAGAGAGTAAAGGTCTGGCGGGGACGCTCATTCAAAGGGTTATTGTATTTAAACTCCAGCCCTCCAAAAGACCGGTCCACTTGCTCCAGTTAAGATACCCACTCCCACAAAACTGAGTGTCAGAGTTCTCGATCAACCTCCTCTTACTACACACACTACACAATGAGGACAAGAGAAGTGAAGTCATCTCTTAAAATTGAGCAGCACTAAACTGGCCATTTTGCCTTGAAAACCGAACTCCAACCTTTGAAAGGCCTCCTTTCCCTGCTCCTTCCTCACTCTGCATTTTGGACTGTATATATTTGGTTTACAGATTTAAAAAGCAGTTTATAAGCAAACCCTGGGCAGCCTCCAGTACAACAGAGACCAGATTGCATGATTCCCCCTCAACTCCCAGAGGAAAATGTATCCAGCTCTAAACATTCTCAAACAGCAGGAACAAGCACTGATGGAAAAAGATGTCATGAAGACTTAAAAAAAAAGAATTACACGAATAACCACTGTTAAACCTATTTTCAAGTAGAACAAATATAAAAACAAAATGTTTACTTTGTCTTTTGATCTTCTTTAAAGTAAATCTAAAAGCAAGCCAGGTTGATGGTAAAAAAACAGTAAGCCAAATGGAAACCACCCCCGTCATGATACAAATTGAGGAGAATCCATTCTCTCGACACAGAATGCCTAGCTTTGTCTTCCAATCACACCCACCTAGCCAAGTCGGAACTTTACTGCAATTTCCTACTCCCAAGTATGCATCAGAATTTGTTATGTTGCATCATACCCAAAAAGTTATGAAATGCCTTTCTTTTAACAGAAAGGACACGAAACGCCCACATATACCTGGTTCCTGCTCCTTGGGCATCACCTCTGAGTTTTAAAGAACTGCAAACTTTTTTTACCAATAGGCTGTTGAAATGATCCTTGGGAGGTGGAAGACAAGGGTTGACCAACCAAATTTTGCAAACAGAAATCAGGGCAAAGAAATGTTAAGCAACCTGTAATCCGCCACAAAACAATGCAGTGGGAGAACCCGCCTCCAGGCAAGTCAGCGGCGCTCCCAGCGATTATCATGGGGCATTCTATCTGCCCAACCACCAAGATTTCCACCCAAGATTTCCACCCGGTTCTCCGGCCCACACCACCCACACCACCCGCTGGCAGAATGTGACTGGCCATTTCATTTCTTTCAGGGCAGCTGGCGGACCTAATTATCTCCCCATTTACTACTACATGCCCCTGAGAATGGGACCCACGCTAACAGGGACCACTATAAAGATAGAGGTCTGTGTTCAAGGCCTTCTTTATGATGTCATTAAGACACCATAATGTGCTTTCAAGATTCCCGAAGGCTGTAGTATGCTAAGTGCTAGGTTTCCTTGTGTCCCATCGAAGTCCAACCATTCTAAATACTCCAGAGGAACTAACAGCTTGTTCTCACATCCATCATGTGATCAGAAGAAGAACCAGGGCACTGGTTTGGGGAGGATCATCTGGTCAAACTCATCTTGGGTCTCACACTCGAGTTCTGACTAGCCAGCCATCAAGTTACAGTGACAGAAGGCAGCGGCTGAAACCAAAGACCACTTTTGTGAATGATGATGTTTCTCTAAGACTAATTCACGTTCCCATCACTCGGCTGCTGAAGACGCAGGGGTTCTTTTAACTGTCTTCCAGCAGGAGAGTCCTTTATTCAAACCAAATCTTACTAAATGGATATGCCAAGTCTCTGGTTTAAGCGCAGATGGGCAAGGCTTGAAGCACACGGGTGGGATCTCTCTGCCTTAGATATAATGTCCACTGGGCCTCAAGACACAATGTGTCAGTGACAGCTTCTGTCTCCTATAAAAGCCATTAGGACACTGAAAACCTGAGCAGCGAGATTCCTTTAAAACATCTTTGGTGCTTTCGCGTTCCCTCTATTTTGAGCACAAATGGACTTAGTTCCTGAGCTAACCGTTAACGAACACTAGTCCCCCCAGACATGAGAGGAGAGGGTACCAGGTAGCCCCAAACTCTCAGTACTCACCAAACTCTCTCAGTACCCTTGCTCTGGCTGATCATCATTCCCAGTGCCTTTCGTGACCCCAGAAAACCATCTGGAATAAATGCATGAAGGCTGGGTACTGAAGGAAGGGGAAGTCTGTTGCATCGAGGGATACCTTGTTTTTGTAGATGAGATCAGGGTGGCCGGAAGAACGGAGCGAAGCCCAGGGTCTCTCAACCCTGACCTCACGGGACACTGGGACCACACAATGACTTGCTGGGGGGGGGCCGTGCTGGGCACGGGAGGACACTCGGCGGCATCCCTGGCCTCTACCCACCGGACGCCAGCAGCACCTTGCAATTTACAGTTTGACACCCAAAAGACCTCTAGACTTCTGGGTTCAGAGGCAAAACTGCCCCAGTTAAGATAATGTGTGTCGCTTGTTAGCCAGATATTAAAAAAAAAAAAAGAAAGAAAGAAAGAAAAAAAAAAATCACACAGTTTTCAGAACAGGAAGAAACCTTGAGAAAAATCAAAGCCCTGAGAGGTTAGGTGAACTTACAACGAGGAGGGTACCAGAAGAGCCTGGACCCAAACCCGGCTCTCCGACACCAACCTGCCAGCGCTGTCCGGGGCTGGAGGCAGAGGAAGGACAGCACGCAACGGAGCGCCTCACTTACCCAAATGGAGCCCTTCCGGAAGTCCGTCCTCAGACCCATCTTCAGAACCGCCTTCTCGATCGACGGCTCCATTCTCGTCCAGGGCGGTGGTTAGGTCCGGAGAACACGTCCTAGGCTGCCTTCCGTCCACGGACATGGTTGGTGATTCGGCGTCGGCCCTCCGATCCTTCTTGTGGACCCTCGAGTGCAAGACCAGCTGGTGGTAGGTCCGGAAGGCTTTGCCACACTCAGAGCAGTGCGTCGGCTTCTCTTTGTTCCCGGACAGCTTTGGGTCGGCTTCCACGGAAGGCACTTCACCGCCGGAGGGTCTGGGCTTCTCCTTGTCCTGGGAGAGGCCCGCGCAGCCGCTTTTGCTGGGCTTGGGCTTTCCAGAACCTTCGGAATGGCTTTTTCCGGCGTTCCAAATTTCTCCGAGCTCTTCTTTTTCGGAACACGAATCATCGTTGTCGGTGCTGCCCTCCTGCCCTGGCTGCTCCTTCACTTCTCGGCAGACGGCGACTTTTCCTTTGGTGGCCAGCTGCCAGGCCTGATAGGTGGTGAACGGATCGAGCTGAGGTATCCATTTGGTGGGCTTCTTCCCGGTCTCGGGGTGCGATTTGGGCCGCAAGTTCAAGAACTGCAGGAACTCTTCCCCCGGAGCTGGCATCCCCCCCTGCGGAGAGTCTGTCTGTGTGCCTCCGCTGCCGGAAGCAGTGTCTTTGGTGTGCATCTTCCTGTGATCGATCAGACTTTCCTTATTTGGAAACAGGAAGCCACAAACCATGCAGATTTTGTAAGGAGAGGAGATGCTCTCGGCCACGTGCTCCTGAACCACCTCGTTGATGGTGGCGGGGCTCTCGGCGCCCGGCTGCAGTTTGCTCTTGGCCCCCGCTTTGCCGGTGTGTGTCCGCATGTGGTTCTTAAGGAACCAGGGCTCCTTGAACCTCCGTCCGCACACATGACAGCCGTAAGTGAAGGAGTCCTTATGCTTCTTCATGTGGATCTCGACGTCGAAAGCGACTCTGAACGTCTGCCCGCACACTTCACAGCTGAACTCTTCGTTTTCTTTGCAGTTCTTGTCCTTTGGAGGCTCCGTTCTCACCTGAGTCTTGTCCAGAGGACTCAGGTACTCCGCTTCCACACGCAAAACGGCCGGCTCGCAAAGGATAGGCCGATGTTGCATCAGGACATGTTTATTAAGGTCTTCTGAATGCGTGAAGGTCTGATTGCAGAACATGCAGTCCAAGGGCATATATCCTTCGATCTGGATTATATTTTTCTCTTGCGTAGCTCGGAAAGGAACGGTGGTGGTCCCTTTTATGGACACGGCATCATCTATCTCCATCTGGGTACCAAGAGAATTGCCAATAACTTCTGGTCCATCCATATACACCAGCAGGGACTGAGTTGGCATGTTTCCTGGCACTTTAGGATTGTATACAAAGTAAGAATCCGGTGGAGGGATTTCTGGAACTGGAATAAGGCCACTTGTAAGACTTGTCACTCACGCCCCCAGCAGCCCTGGACTTAAAACGAGAACGAGTATTTGTTACAAAAGTTCAAAAGCAAAGTATATATTCCTGTAGCTTCTTATCTTCAGAAGTCTTAGGAAGCTCGGTGGCAGAGCCAACCACTGGTTTTTTGCACAAACAAGGCAGACAGACTCCCCAGCGCTTTGATTCAAATATGAGTCAGCACGGAGCGTTCATTCTCTTTGTCTCCATTGAGTGAGGGATTCAGTTGAGCAAGAAGTCAATCCCAGCAACCTGGAGACCAGGGATTTCCAAAACCTAGAGGGGGAAAAGCAAAAACCAAAAACCACAGAAATGGTTAGTTGGCTGTGGCCAGAGGGAAGAGAAGCCCGGTGTGGACGACGCACAGCTGGTCCGCTTGTGGCAGAAGAGGTACCTCGCTCGTCCACTCCACTTTCGACTAACATCGCGCATCCTGTTAAACATGCCCGTTAATTAAATCGTTAGCATTTTACCCACTCAGGACACTTACCAAATCGCTGGATTTTCATCCAGGGAAGAAACTGAAAACGTGGTGCTCTAATGATTGAAGTCTAAACTTGAAGATTCAGGACAGAAACGGTTAAATTCAGCTGAATGCAGTTTAAATGCCACTGCAATGCAATGTTTGTCCTTACAAAGAGCCCCTGCAAATCTAGAGATGATACCAACTGTGAAGAATGCCAAGTAAGGCCCTCTCTAAATAAAACGTTTAAAGCCCGAACTTCAAACTGTCTTCTATACAGTCAAGACACAAATGCCGAACAGCACCCTCGAAGATCACACACGCACAGGCCAACAACACACACGAGAACAGAAACCTTTCCTAAAATCCACATTCAAAAACTACAGAACACCTCAGAATGAGGCTCATCGTGGCCAAGGGGAACCTGAATCATTCTGGTTCACAGGATATCCTAGCCCTCAACCCACTGCCCAAATCCCAGCTGCTTTTTCAGAAGGCAGAAACTGCCTTCAACAAAAGTCAGGGTAGGGCTCCCTTGTGCACACAACAAATAAGGAAACACACGCACCAGGCTACTCGGTGAGGGTACACTTGAAAATCCTCCACACGGCAGGGTCAACATGGCTCAGTCTTTCATCAGAAAACGGGTCCTCCCACTTTTAACCCACCCTTCCCATTACGCACTGGCCAGGTGAAAAATGGATGATTACTTTATGTGGCTCTGCAGGCTCAGATTTAGAAGCCAATTTTCATTCTTGGAGAAGAATTAACCTCCAAACCCAACACCCTCCCCTCCACCTTTCTGGCAAGCACAGAATTGTTTCTAAATAGACTCAGCTACTTAACCTGAAGTCTGTTAATTCCACCCAACAGAACAAAAAGACTTGCAAACTACTCCCACCACCTTGCCTTGACTTTCCTTCTCTCCACTTCCTCAAAGAGCAAGGGCCTCTAGGCTCAGAGAAGACAAGGAAACATTTCTTCCCCTACTTTATACTCATAATAGAAGAAAATTCTCATGCTCTTTGCTATCTTTAGTTTTGAATACACTAGATCTTTAACATTAAGCTTTTCTAAATAAGGCTGCAGATCAAAGATTAGGGAAAAGAAAGAAGGTACTGAAGTGTTTTATCTTAATTTCTGAGTCCTTTGTTGTGATCACAATGGAGGATAAAACTCTTGGGCTGGCTACCAGCTTGGTGGGCTTTAACAGAACACTCCAAAGGCCCGAGTTCTAGTTCTGGCTAAGTCACAACCTTAAAGTTGTCACCACCACCTACCTACCTCACCTTCATCTACCTACTGCAGGCGGTTAAATTACAGGCTCACCCTTAAGAGTTCCCAATGTCTAGGGTTCCAGGGGCAGAGCTACATGTATGGATAGACAGACACCAAAGAATATTTGATGCTTTCCCAATCAAGATATTAAGTGATATTTGAAAAACGTAACTGATAATTTAGGGTTCTATGTAGTCTGTATTTACTGAATGCCGGTGTACCAGGTAATATTTTAACTGAAGAAATAACAGTACATACTCTAGACAAGCAGTTATCAAACTGACAACACTGTCTTCACTGGCAACATCTAGATGAAAAACAGAGAAACAACTCAGTGAGTCCTACACAAAACGACACAGATTAATTTCAATTTGAATAGAGGCTGTCCTCTATTTGAGGTCCTTTCTATTTGGGGGTTGCAAACTGGCCTTTTTAAAATGAAAGAGTGGCAATAGCAGTCAGTACTTTTTTTAATGTCCTAATTTGCCAAAATCAAAGTTAGTCCTCTATGTTGGACCTGTGTGTGTGTGTGTGTGTGTGTGTGTGTACGTATGTCAGAAATTTTACTACTCTCTGATATTTTAAGTTTGGGGGAACTCCAGTTTCCTACAAATAATCTTTCCCCAAAAGACACCACTCCTAAACTCAACCTCTGAATTAGAAACATGGTGTGGGTACATAACATCCCTATTATTTCCAATCCAGGGTAATGGCGTGACCAGAAGGAAATGCCTGTTTAGTTTCAATTTTTATCTCTGAAATGTTCAAATATCTGGGTTAAAGAAGTCACCATCAGCTTCTAACACAAGACCTAGAGGATTAGTAAAGGAGGCACAGTGCAAAAAGAAAAAAAAAAAAGTAGGAGCGGAACAGAGGCCTGGAGATGAGGGGAAGGACGTCCTAGGCCCCCCAGCTCCAGGAGTCTCCTACGAGGGTCAGTCAGATGGGGAAGGAGAACCTCCCAGGCAAAACCTGAAGCACTTCCTCCTCAAGGGAAGCTTCTGGCACAGACTGTGATGGCCATCGACTGTGCCCAACTGTCCTAAGCACTAGAATCCCGGTGAGTCATGGCAATCCTTACTACTCAGCCAACATCTGCAAACCCTGGGCCACCTGTTTGAAGATCCCAGGAGCAGAGACCCTGTCGACCTTGTTCACCATGATGTCCCCATGCCTAGAAGGGGTCCCTGGCATGGGGCCGGGCCCTCAATAAACCCCTGGTGAATAAATTAACAAACACTAACATCATCAGTACAGGTATACAATCAGTAATGCACATCTCTGGCCACAGTCACCAGTCTGAACTGATCTGATATTAAAATTAACCCGAAGGTTCATGAGAACTTCTTTCAACACGGCTCTCCATGGCTGCCATCTAATTTACCATTCTCTGCAGTTTCAAGGGTGTAATAATAAAAAAACAAGAATCCTAATTAATCCTACCATGAAGTTGACCAGCATAGGCAAAACCTTATCATTTAGATTTAAAACTACGCTCCTTACTGACCCACCAAAACAGACGTGCAGGACAAGCTAGGAAAATCTGACAACAAATGACTCGGACTCTTGACTTAAGAAACCGTTTGCAGACTAAACACTTCCTTAAACTATAAACCAATTACCTGTATCACTTAAAACCAATCTGCTAAACAAAACCCCCAATCTTTAACAGTGACTGCAATAATACTTGAATAATAACAAAACTTACCAAAAAATACACATTCTAATCTAATTACTGTTAATAACAACCATTCCAGTCGAGTGAAGTGCACACCCACACACAGCCTTCCTAGAGCCTCGTTCTCCAGGTGGAGCAACACAGAAGCCACGGCAGGCACACCAAGGGCACTGCCGGCCCAGGAAGTTGTCTGTCTTCACAAAGAACTGGAGGAGGAAGGAGGGGGAGGATCTTAATCCGACCCCTAGAATCTAAATGCTTTTAGTTTGCAGAGAAGTTGAGCGTTCAGAACATACTAGGCTTCCTGAAAGGCAGTTTGCAAAACTGTTTGTCAGTGTTTAAAAAAACGTTCTTAAACCTTTACTCAGGGAGACGATACACTTAACCTTCAGCTATACACCCCCAAGGCACCCGAGGCAAGAGGTTATCCGGCATAACCTCGTATTCCGCAAGAGTCCTGGTGATTACTTTATACTGTGATTAGATACTTTAAAAAAAAATTTACAACAACATAATCTTTGAAAAACAGTAGGAACCATATTGCTTAGAAGTGCCTAAAATAGAAGTCTAATGCTCTTTAGGCCATTTCTGTTTTTTGTTTGTTTGTTTTGTTTTAAAGCAAATGCTCCATGGGGAGTAAAGCTCGGGAGATTCTGCCACTATCTATAGATTTTGAAATTAGCAAATATTACACATTATACAATGCTTAATGAAAAAAATACAATGATTTGTGCTTAAGCACAGCAAATTAGAAGGAAATGCCACCTTGCTGACAATTGGCTGTGACTTGGGAAGAGTCCTTCATGTACAAACGTACTCACACTGTTAACCTTTACAGACAGCATGCCTCCACTTTAGCTAAACAGGTTATCTTACATTTTTTGATATGGAATATTTATTACCCTATGATGGAGCAAGAGGAATTCAAAGTCCTCAAAAACTGTCAAAGACACACAATTCTGTTTATAACTAAGTAATATGCAGTATTCCTGCAATTCTACTTTTTCCCTCCGAGTCACTGAAGTGTCCAAATATATGATCATTAAAGTATTTCACCCAAACAAACTGCTAGTCTCTGGCCTGTTTCATTTGTATCCTGTAAAGGGCGAAATTATCTCCAAGATCTGGTCAGGAAACTTAACAGTTTTTCTATAAATGTTCCTTCTGTACGTTACACATAGGAGTTTTTTCCTTAATCCGACAAGTGAGGAGAACTGTACATAGTTACGCCACAGCGACAATCCAAACCTGTAACTTTAAATCCTTCAACACTATTTCAAGGAAATCACCAAGGTCACACCCATGAGCTGAATGGTCAACCCAACTTTCCTAATATAGCTGTGAAAAGATGTTTAAAAGTTCAGTGAAAAGATTAAAATATGCAAAAGGTTATATTCAGCATCACAATCTAAAACTAGTCAAAAGCAAATGGCTTAAAAATAAAAAAGCCATTGGCCGGTTCAAAGGCAAAGCCTGGGAAGATCCTACGG